AAATGGGATTTCATTTCATTCATATCATATCTGGAAGCTACTGAAGGGCTTTATGCAGGAAGTGACAAGAACTGACTTACAGCCCTAGCTGTTTTGGCTCAGTGGATAGAGCATCAGCCTGCAGCCTGAGGGGTCCCGTGTTTGACTCCAGTCAAGGGCACATGTCTGGGTTGTGGGCTCCATCCCCAGTGGTGGGTGTGCAAAAGGCAGCTGATCAATGATTCTCTCTCATCATTGATGTTTCTATCCCTATCCCTCTCCCTTCCTTTCTGAAATCAATAAAAATATATTTAAGAGGAAAAAAGAACTGCTTTATATTTGAGAAAACCGCTCTAGTTGGTGTGTGGAGAAGGGACTTAGAAGGGTGAGAGGGGATTAGGGAGAGCAATGAAGAAGCCATAGTGGTCTGGCCAGGTGGCTCAGTTGGTTGAGCATCACCCTGTACACTTATCAGGTTTGCTTCCCAGTTAGAGTACATACCTAGGTTTCAGGTCTGATCCCTGGTCAGGGCATACAGGATTGGCAATTGATCAATATTTCTCTTTCTCTCCCTTTCCCTCTCTCTAAAACACATGTGTCAAACACAAGGCCCGCGGGCCAAATCCGTCCCGCCAGGCCTTGCAATGTGGCCTGCACCACGCTGTCATCACTGCACTCCGCTGCGTTTCCATCACAATGACAGTTTATGACTGTTCAGTAAACCATTCGGCCCACGATTTAGGCTGGATTTTAGATTTTGGCCCCTTCTCTGATTGAGTTCGACACCCCTACCTAAAATCAATTAAAAAATAAAAAATAAAAAAAACACATATCCTCTGGTAAGGATTTAGAAGAAGGAGGAAAAGAAGGCATTGTAAGAAGCTATCATAACAGGCCAGGTAAGAGAGGATGGTAGGGGGGAAAAATAAAGATGGTGACTGGGGCCAGAATGGCCCTGTATTTTGTTTTGTTTTTAATATATTTTATTGATTTTTTATAGAGAGGAAGGGAAAGAGATAGAGAGCTAGAAACATCAATGAGAGAGAAACATCGACCAGCTGCCTCTTGCACACCCCCTACCGGGGATGTGCCCGCAACCAATGTACATGCCCTTGACCGGAATCGAACCTGGGACCTTTCAGTCTGCAGACCGACGCTCTACCACTGAGCCAAACCGGTTTCAGCATGGCACTGTATTTTGGAAGCAGAATGCCAGGACTTGAAGAAGGATTAGATAGAAGGCAGTACAAGAAGAGAAAAGAAGATCCTTGCACTTCAGCCTTGGTTTGACTTTTATTATATTCAAACTAGAGGCCTGATGCGCATATTCGTGCACAGGGCTCAGCCTTCACAGCTGCCCCAGCTTGCCTCTGCCACTGCCCTGGCCCTCACAGCCCTGGCTTCGTCCAGAAAGTTGTCCAGAAGGATGTCTGGAAAGATGTCCAGAAGTTCATTCAGCTGTCCAGTATAATTATCATATTACACTTTTATTATTATAGATTATTATTATAGCAGACTACAGGCCCAATGCACAAAATTGGTGCAAGAGTAGGCCTTCCTTCTCCCAGCTGCTGGCACCTGCTTTCCTCTGGCACCAGGACCCGGGCTTCCCTTGTAGCCCCAGCTTCATCCCGAAGGTCATCTGGTCTAATTAGCATATTATGCTTTTATTATCATAGATTATTAGATTATCTTTGTGCACAAAAAAGTTCCATTGTTATTTTTTTATATATATTTTATTGATTTTTTACAGAGAGGAAGGGAGAGGGATAGAGTCAGAAACATCGACGAGAGAGAAACATTCATCAGCTGCCTCCTGCACACCCCCCACTGGGGATGTGCCTGCAACCAAGGTACATGTCCCTGACCGGAATTGAACCCGGGACCTTACAGTCCACAGGCTGACACTCTATCCACTGAACCAAACCGGTTTCAGATCTATTGTTATTTTGATGTAGCATTACATTTATAGACAGTTTTCTGAGAAATGACATTTTTGAAAGATTTTTGAAGTATTGATTTGAGAGAGAGAAACATCAATGTGGGTAGCATCAACTGGATGCCTTGACCAGGGATGGAACCTGCAACCCAAGGCAAGTGCCTTGACTGGGAATCAAACCAACGAGCTTTTGGTTTATGAGACAACATTCCAACCAATTGAGCCACACCGGCCAGGGCAAGAAAAGACATCTTTATAGTAATGGTCTTTCTCACCTAGAATAGGGTATATCTCTTCCATTCTTGCTAGCTTTTATTATCTTTCTAACGTTATCTTGCTATTAGTGTCTTTTAATACAATAGTTTTCATTCCATGAAGACCACTTTCCTTTCAGTTCCAAAAGCACTTTAGATATGTAGCAATAAAGATCTCTTACCTTCTGGTCATGAACCTTTGACAAAAGTGCTTGACAAGTCAACAAGAAATGTTTAAATATTGAAAGAGGTGAGCAGTGACCCTAGGAGGTGGTGATAGAACTGAGGATGGGGAAGTGACAGCTGGTGGAAAAGGCCTGTGTTTAAACCTTAAAGATGATCTTAGACCATGCTGTGTGGCTCAGTGGTTGATCATTGACCTATGAACCAGGAGGTCACAGTTTAATTCCTGGTCAGGGCACGTGTCTAGATTGGGGGCTTGATCCCCAGGAGGGGACATGCAGGAGGCAGCCAATCTCATCATTAATGTGCTTATCTCTCTCTCCCTCTCTCTTCCTCTGAAATAAATAAAAATGTAAAAACAAAACCAAAAGAAAAAAGATAACAGAAACAGTCTTGTGTATGTTACTTTTTGTTGCATACAAAAGTGGAGGGAGGAGTGTGATGTTGGTTCATTTGGGGAAGATAGCGAGAGTAAGAAGAAATGGAAAACGCGATGGAAGAAGAAATACTGTAGCTCCTCACATCCAAAATGTCAAGTCATCCATCATCCTCCCAAAATCCAGTCAATTTTGCCCTAAAAATAACTCCAGCCTGGCCTCTCTTCTTCTTTCCACTCTGTGGCTCATCATCTCCCCTCGATTACTTTAGGCTACAACAGCCTTGCTACACTCCCTCCACCCTCCACATTGCCCAGAATTATCTTCCTAAAAAAGAAATCTCATCATGCCACTCCTTTGCTTTAAAAAATACTACTGGCTGAAACCGGTTTGGCTCAGTGGATAGAACGTCGGTCTGTGGACTGAAAGGTCCCAGGCTTGATTCCTGTCAAGGACATGTTCCTTGGTTGTGGGCACATCCCCAGTAGGGGGTGTGCAGGAGGCAGCTGATGGATGATCTCTCTCATTGATGTTTTAACTCTCTATCTCTCTCTCTTCCTCTCTGTAAAAAATGAATAAAATATATATATATTTTTAAAACACTACTGGTCTTAGCCTATTTGGCTCAGTGGATAAAGCATCAGCCTGCAGACCAAAGGGTCCCGGGTTCGATACCCGTCAAGGGCAGTACCTTGGTTGCAGGCTCCTCCCCAGGCTGGGGCCCTGGTCAGGGCTCCTGCAGGAGACAATCAATTGACATGTTACTCTCACATTGGTGTTCCTCTCTATCTCCTCCCCTCCCTTCCATTCTCTCTAAAAATTAATGGAAAAACATCCTCAGGTGAGTATTAACAAAAACAAACAAATAAATAAAGGTGACTAAATGTTTTCTTTTCATATATTTTATTGATTTTTTACAGACAGGAAGGGAGAGAGATAGAGAGATAGAAACGTCGATGAGAGAGAAACATCGACCAGCTGCCTCTTGCACACCCCTTACCGGGGATGTGCCCGCAACCAAGGTACATGCCCTTGACCGGAATCGAACCCAGGACCTTTCAGTCCGCAGACCGATGCCCCAACACTGAGCCAAACCAGTTTCGGCAAAGGTGACTAAATGTTTTTTAAAAATAAATAAATAACACTACTGGATCCATGTGTCCTCTTCCAGAGAAGCGCCTCAGTCTTGTTTCTTTTTTACCCTGTTCCACAAAATCCTTCACACTGCTCCAGGCTTCCTTCCCAGCCTTCTCTCTCCTGCTGTCTTACCACCACAAACACTTCAGAACAGGATGTGCCTTGCCTTTCCCTGTACTTGGAACGCCCTTTCTCAACTTCTGCCCACCATTTATAAAGATTGTCCTCAAATGTCCCCTCCCCTGGACAGCCCGCACTCCTCCGCCCTCACTCGGGCCAACCCCTTATAGTAGTTGCTTTGTCTTCCGAGTCATAACTCTATTGTAGCATTCCTGGGGTCCTACTTATTCATGTGTTTCCACAAGTATGCCAGGAAGGCAGGAGTCGTGTTCGTTCATGCCTGTGTCCCCATCGCCCTAGCATAGTGACTGGAACAAAGCAGGCCTGGATAGATGGAAGAAAGTTAGCTGCTGTGCGTGGATTGGAGCAGATGAGAGGTCCCGAGAAAAGTAGGCAAAGTAGTCCTGCAAAGATCAAAGACAGGCACCGGGGGGCGCTGACACACCACAATAAAGTGGGAGGGCCGGCCGAGAAAGCCGCAAGCCCTGGAGTAAGCGGTGCGCCCCGACGGCACGCATCTCCCCCAACGGGAACCGCTCGGCCACGTGTGCACACCCTCACCCTCCGCCCAGACCGAGCTTAAGTTCATTCTACAACCCCCACCGCCTCCTCCGTCCCCGCCGCCAACCCCCTCGGCCTCCACGGCCACCGAGAAAGCAAACAAAGAGGAGGAGACTCCCGCAGGGTTCTGGGTGCAGGGAGCCAACCGGAGGGCTCTATTCCCCGGGAAGGCGGGCGCCTCCGTGTAAGGGCGCCCAATCAGCTCCTAAGGGAGGGTTAGGATCGGGGAGAATGGGCGGGAAGAGCGGGGAGTTGGTAGGGATTCCCCCCCCCCGCTCCCCCCCAAAGAGGGGCGGGGCGAGGGCGGGGCGGAGCCAATCAGGGTGGGAGTCTCAGAGGCGAGGGCGGGCTTCGTGGCAGCGCGCGCGATCCGGGCTGACGCATCGGGCCCGGCTCCCCGGGATCCGGGGGCGGGAGCTGGGGGCGGGGAGAGGGGGCCCGGAGGGGAGGGGACAGCGGAGAAAGAGTCTGGGGCGCGCGTGCGCAGCGGCGTGGGGAGGAGCGGGGAGGAGCGGGGACCTGGCCGCGGACTGGGAGGCTGCGAGGAGGAGCGAGCCGCGGGCCGGGCGGGCGGCGGGCGCGCGCACCATGGGGGAGAAGCCCGGCACCAGGTAAGGGAGGTGGGGCCGCTCGGCGGGACGTGGGCGACGGCCCCGGGCGGGTGCCGGGACGCCCTACAGGCGGGGACCCTGGGGAGAGGGAATCGGGCGCCTGGAGGATAGGCAGGCATCTGGGGCCGCGCGCCTAGGTCCTCGGGGGCAGTGAGGGGGGACACGCATGCCAGGGTCCCTGCAGAAAGCAAGCGCTGAAGGGGGTCAGGAACCTGGCGTCTGGGTTCAGGCAGGGATGTGGGGACCGGCGGCGGCTCGGTGCTCCCTTGCAAGCTGCGATGCCCGGGCGGAGGAAGGAAGAGCAGGTGGCCGGTCCCTTGGGGTCGGATACGGGCAGGCTGGATGCCGGAAGGGGGATCCCCGTAGACTCGTGCTTAAGCCACTAGAAAGCCTTCTATGCAACACCCCACAGGCAGTGGGGCTGCCCCCACCTGTCCCCAGGGCCGGGTAGCTCAGCTTCCAAACTTCTGCCTTTCCCAGGGTTGCTAGGAGCAACAGCCTCGTTTTAAGAGAGCTGAGGACTTGGCGATCCTCCCCAAGTCTGGGCCTTTCTCCCTCTTCCCGCGGGTGAGGGAAGGAGGTATCTGCTCTGGGCACCCCATCCACTCCCCGGATGTTTTATGTGCAATCGAGGCTCCTTCCTTCCACGGGCACCCCGAGTTCTGGTTTTTGGTCTCTAGCACAATCCACTTCCTGTTGTGACCCAACACCTCCAAGGGGGCGGTGGGTGAATGCCTGAGTCCCTGGGGAGCAGGCACAAGAGGAAAAGAGGGGGGCTGTCGAGCTCTATCCAGAGGGGATCGGGAAGAGGGGCCTGGTCCTGAGCTGCCCCTTGTTCTGCAAAACATCACCATGTCAGCCCCACCGCTCCCCACCTAGAGGGTAGGAGAACCCAGGTCTCTGAGCACCAGGTCCAATCAGTATTGGACAGAGATAATCCGAGAAAGGATTGGAGTCCTGGATTTGGGGTTAAACAAACCAGAGAAAGGGGAAGTCAACGAGGAAGGAGGCCCCCCGATTTCCGTTACGTGGTTGGTGGAGGGGGGGTGAGAGAAGGATGGACCAAGGGGGCATTGCTGACTTGGCATCATTCCTCCCATCAAATTCTGGGCCACAGGAAATGTGGATAATAGCAGGAAGTGTGAGGGGGGCATCTGCTTCTGTGCCCCCCCTTTGGTCACCCCCACACTCCGCCTCCTTGGCCAGCTTCAGTATACACTTGCTGCCTCTCCCTCGCCTGGCAGGAGGCTGGCTGGGTTAGGATCCAGAAGGCAGGTGCCCTGCAGCTGCTCCAGGGCAATTACCACAAACTGACACTCCACTTGGCCAAGGGATTCGTAGATGTCACAGTCCTCTGCCAGGGCTCCTCATAGGAAGACACACTGGACAAAGGAGAGCCAGAAGCCAAGGCGAGGAAGAGCAATCAGACCGAGTGGGGACAAGGGGAGGGGTGCTCGTTCCAGCTGGCCACCTTATTTGGATGGGGATACCCTCCCCTTTATTGGACGGGGATACCCGGGGGACCTCCATAACCTCTGCTTGTGGCCTTTGCATAGCCTGGCCTTCTGGGAAGAAGGGGCAAGTAAAGAGGTTACAGCAGGAATGGGTGGTGGGGCTGGAGGGAGGGGAGGCCAGCTGGCGGGATTTCAGCCTCTCCTACCTGGGACCCTTCCCAGAGGCCCCCGAGGAGGCAGAGCGGAGTGGGAGGTGGTGCAGCGAAGGACAAGCCCATGGGTGGCCGGAGCGTCGGAGTTGCCAGCGACATCCCCACTGGTCCAGCCGTGGGTGGAGTCCAGGCCTGGGTTGTGTTAGCAGCTAGGAAGTGAATCCCTCTCAACCCAACACGCTTCATGCCAATTACAGAGGCAGGGGAGTGTCACAGATCAGCCACCAAGAGCATGTACTCGGAGCCAGACTGCCTGTTTGTCTACCATGTACACCGTGACCTTAGGCAACATTCTTGACCACTCCTGTGCCTCAGTTTCCTCCCTATAAGATAGGAATATTGGGACCTCCGTCGTTGGGTTATTAAGAGTGTTAAATGAGATAACACACATGGAACGCTTTAAATAGTGATGGGCGTACAGTATTCGCCCAGGAAATGTCAGCAGCAGCAGCAGCATTTCCATATGCCGGGCGTTGTGTCGGAGATACCTACGTGAATAAGGCCTCCGATGCTCACGGTCTCTCTAGTGCAGCAGACGGTACACAGCTAACTGCCCCTGCATAGTATCACGCCACAAATAAAACATAAACAAGCTATGACATGAACCCCCCCTCCCCCCCCAAAAAAAAAGGAGTGACCAGCGTCTGGGCTTGATCCCCTTTTTAAAGGAGGTGATACCTGAGCTGGATCCTGAAAGACAAAACACGGCTTTTAAGCTGCTGAGATTAGAGATGGGGAGAATGAGAGGTTAACGGAGTGGGTCCCACTTAGGTGGTGCCTAGAGGAGAAACCATTTTCAGGCAAAAGGCCGAAGCCATTCCTCTTTCAAGCCCTCCAGCTGTCTTTGAAGATGGAAAGAGGGTTAGGCCTCCTGCGGACAATAGTGCAACCTGCCCATTCAGGTCCCCCTGGGGGAGGTCCTCTGGGAGAGCCATGGTGGTTCCTGTGGCAACCAGTGGCTCTGGCCGTGGAGGAGGGGAGCCAGGGGAACGAGTGCGGGTGGAGGGGGGTTGCCGTGACAACCAGCTTTGAGGGGCTGCCAAGATGGGAATGTTAAGGACCTCCGGTTACCTTCCTGGGGGAAAGTGGGAGGGGGTAGGGCTGGACGAAGCCTCTGGGCAGGAATCCTGGGTGCGCCCTGCTTCCTCAGGATGGGGAGGGATGAGGTCCTGGCGCCCGGGTCCCTGCTGAGTCTGAGGGAGGCAGTGGGGTTTCCCTTTCTGTTTTGTTAGGGTCTTCAAGAAGTCCAGCCCTAACTGCAAGGTGAGTCTCCCACGGTGCTTCTCCTCCTGACCCTCCCCGGGCCCTTAACGAGGCCCAGCCTGCCCCGGATGATCCCCAGCCCCTATCTGCCCACTTCCTGTGACAGCTAAAAGCCAACTTCCTTCCCTCCAGAAGCCCCTTGCCACAAAAGCTGCTCCGCCTGAGCCAGCCACAAGGCTGGGTGGGGTCAGGCCTCGGCCCCTAAGCAAGACCAAGGGGGAGGAGCCAGAAACCCACGCCGCCCGCTCTCAGGCCTATTTACCCCGGATTCCCTCTCTGGCTGTGACCCACAAACCCGCACACACATCCGGTTGCTGTGCAGAGGTGCGAAAAGATATTAGGGAGGAGCTAAAAAGCATCAAAGTGGGGTGGTCTTCGAGGCCTCCCGCCACCTCCCTTCCAGCTTACTGGGCGGAACCAGGACTCCTGGACATCCCAGCCTGGGAAGACCAGGGGCAGGACGGCCCATGTGAGGCTCTGATGCCCTAGCACCCTCCTACCCCATCTTCCTGTGACCCCTCTCCATCCTCAGCTCACTGTGTACTTGGGCAAGCGGGACTTTGTAGACCACCTGGACAAAGTGGATCCTGTAGGTAAGTGTGCCCGCAAACGGGCCTCCTGTCCCCCAAGAGGAGAAGGTCCCGGGCCCGGGATCGGAGGACGGGTCCTGCCGGGAAACCAGCTCACGTGTCCCTTCCCTAGATGGCGTGGTGCTTGTGGACCCCGACTACCTGAAGGACCGCAAAGGTACTGGCCCCCAACCCTCGAGGCGCCAGGGGAGGTGGGAGAGAGTGTGAAGTGGGCTGGCATTGAGAGGGGCCCCGGAGAGATGGGGGGGCCGAGGCACAGGCCAGGCGTGGGATTCAGGCACGCCGTACGCCGCCCAGAAGCAGCAGCCGCTGCTGCTCGGTGGTCCGGGGAGGACTGGCGAAGGGGAGCTCCTGACCCTGCCTTGCCCTCCCTCGCCAGTGTTTGTGACCCTCACCTGCGCCTTCCGCTACGGCCGCGAGGACCTGGACGTGCTGGGCCTGTCCTTCCGCAAAGACCTGTTCATCGCCACCTACCAGGCCTTCCCCCCGACGGCCAGCCCGCCCCGGCCCCCCACCCGCCTGCAGGACCGGCTGCTGAGGAAGCTGGGCCAGCATGCCCACCCCTTTTTTTTCACAGTGAGGATGCCCCCCACCTTCCGCAGGGCAAAGGGGCCCGGGGCTGTGTTTGGGGCGTGAGGCACCGGGGTATGGGCAGATCTGGAAGACACAGTAAGGAGGGACCCTGGACCACCCCCACCCCTCCCTCCAGGGCCCTCCCTTCTCTGCCTCTTCCTGGGGCCTCTCCGTTTCCCTTCTCATCCCCAGGGCTTCTTCTCCAGCCTCTTAAGTGGAGATTGGGAGGAAGACTTGGGGGCTTCCAGCGGAACTGAGGTCTCCCCTTCCCTCTGCCACAGATACCCCAGAACCTGCCCTGCTCCGTCACCCTGCAGCCGGGCCCGGAGGACACAGGGAAGGTACGGGAGAAAGGGTCCCGAGGCCCGTGGGGCAGAGCGGGGCCCAGCAGGCCCCTGAGATGGGGGTGGGCTATCGGGAAGCCAGGATGGGGCGAAGGGCAGAGTACTGTTCCCCAGTGGACACGGCTGTGTTTGGGGCGGTCACTGCTCATGAGGGACCCTGCTCCTTGCTCTTGACCTGCATGTACCTGGGTATGAGGGCTCGCCTTGCACAGCCAGGGGGAAGCCTGTGCCAGGGGCCAGGCCCTGTGCTCCTCAGACCAGGATGGGGCAAGACCGAGGGAGGAGGGAGGGAGGGAAGGAAGGAAGGAAGCGGCGGTGGCGGTGACGGCAGGGGCCTTGTGCAAGGCCTGACCTTTTCTCTCCCTCCAGGCCTGTGGGGTAGACTTTGAGATCCGAGCCTTCTGTGCCAAATCGCTAGAAGAGAAAAGCCATAAAAGGTGAGGGACGCCACCTCCCCTGTGGTTGGCCCATTCCATCCCGGCTCCCTCCCGGGAGCCCCGGGCCCTGTGGGAGGCGGGAGTGGCTGCCTGGGTGTCTAAGGGATAAACCCTCACCCCCAGGAACTCTGTGCGGCTGGTGATCCGAAAGGTGCAGTTCGCCCCAGAGAAACCCGGCCCCCAGCCTTCAGCTGAAACCACACGCCACTTCCTCATGTCCGACCGGTCCCTGCACCTTGAGGCTTCCCTGGACAAGGAGGTGGGGTGTGAGAGAGCGACGCAGGCGCCACAGAGCAGGCCAGGCCCTGGGGGAGGGGGCAGCCACAGAGGCGGCTGCCTGAGCTAGCTGCGGAGAGGTGCCGTGGGCTTGGGTTCAGAGGGAAGAGGCCAAGCAATGTGTTGGTGTCTGGGCACACTGATAATGGGGCCAGTGCAAACAGCCGACTGATTTGCCCTCCTTCCTCCCCTCAAAAGCTGTACTACCACGGGGAGCCCCTCAGCGTCAACGTTCACGTCACCAACAACTCCACCAAGACTATCAAGAAGATCAAAGTCTCTGGTAGGAGGTGGGGGTTGGAATGCGGTCTGGTGGGAGGGAGTTGCACACAGGATCTGGCGTCCTCTCAGCTCGGGGCCCTTTCTCTGCCTCCTCCCGGGGCCTCTCCCCAGCCCGGCTCAAGGCGTTTAGGCCACGCCCGGCCAGCACCGACCTATGAACCAGGAGATCGGGGTTTGATTCCCAGTCTGGGATTCGATTCCTGGTCTAGGCACATGCCTGGGTTGTGGGTAGGGAACGTGCAGGAGGCAGCCAATCGGTGATTCTCTCTCATCGATGTTTCTATCTCTGCCTTCCTCTCTGAAATTAAAAAAAAAAAAAAAAAATGTATTTAAAAAAAATTTTTTTTAGGCCAAAACCGGTTTGGCTCAGTGGATAGAGCGTCGGTCTGTGGACTGAACGGTCCAAGGTTCCATTCCGGTCAAGGGCATGTGCCTTAGTTGCGGGCACATCCCCAGTGGGGGGTGTGCAGGAGGCAGCTGGTCGATGTTTCTCTCTCATAGATGTTTCCAGCTCTCTGTCCCTCTCTGAAAAAAATAAATTATATATATATATTTTTTTTTTTTTTCTTAAATTTTTAGACTGTCCCAGAGTGAGATACAGATCAGGCATTCACTACTACAGGGGGGACCAGAGGGTGGGGTGGGGTGGGAGTGGGGTGGGCTAGTCTTGTGGTCTGGAGTGGGTGGGGGCTAGTCTTGGCTCCATGCAGAGCTGCTTGTTCCTGCCCGCCTGCAGTGAGACAGTATGCTGACATCTGCCTCTTCAGCACTGCCCAGTACAAGTGCCCCGTGGCTCAGATCGAACAAGAGTGAGTATCAGAACAGCCCTGGGCCCCAGCCTCAGGGAGAAGAGTGGGCCCGGGAGGGAGCATGTGAGGTAGCGGGGGTGGAATTCTTCCCGAACCATCTCCACATTCAAGGCCATTCCCTCCTCAGGTGGCTCGGGGCTGTTCGCTTTCTTGAACAGCTTGAGCCAAAGCCTGCTCCCTTGTGACGTGTGCCCAGAGAGAAGGGGCTCGAGATGGGGGTGGGTGGGAGTTGCCCCTCACCCAACCCGGCCGCTCCCATTGTCTTGTCCCCCCCGTCCAGCGACCAGGTGTCTCCCAGCTCCACGTTCTGCAAGGTGTACACGGTCACCCCGCTGCTCAGCAACAACCGGGAGAAGCGCGGCCTGGCCCTGGACGGGAAGCTCAAGCACGAGGACACCAACCTGGCCTCCAGCACCATGTGAGGGGCTGCGTGGGCGGGGAGGGCTCTCGCGCAGCCCAGGCGACGGGCATTCATTCGGTGCCAGCCCTGTGCCAGGTTCCGTCCTAGGTGCCAGGCTCTGTCAGTAAACAAGAGACAAAGGCCTCTCACAGCCTGGGGGCGGGAGGACAGACAAAGCAGATACGCAGCACGTGGAGTGACCGGTGTTCGGGAGAGAAAGCAGGGCAGAGAGGGTGGAGGGCGTGTTAGCGTTGGGTGGCTGGGGAAGACGTATCCCGCGGGTGAGTTCTGAGTGAGAGCCCAAAGGAAGCAGGCCCTGTGGCCGTGCAGGGGGAGCGTTCCAGGCCGGAGCTGCAGGCGCAGACCCAGAGGCGAGCCGGCCTGTGTCTGCGGAAGTCCGCTGCTGGCCTCCCTGCGCCATTCATTGTGGCTTCCGCCAGGAGCAGCCCTGGAGGAAGGGCTGAACGTCGCTCCAGGTGCCCGTGTGCGGGGAACACAGGGCCCGGCCGCGGAGAGCGGGCCTCGAGGCCGGCACAGGGAGAGCGAGCGACACGCACAAGAGGAGCAGCTGGGCTTGGAGGGCTGGTGGAGAGCAAGGCAGCGCAGGGCTGTGAGGTCACCGGGATTCTAGCTTTTACTGGGGGAGAGGGGAGCAGCCACGGAGGGCGCTGCCAGAGGGCTGGCACGCAGCCTTTCCTGAGACAGCACAGCCTGTGCCGCTGGTGTGAGTCCGAGTCCTGCTCGGGGTCCCGTGGGAGCCCTACGGGCGGGCGGAGGTGCAGGGCCGTGGGCCACGATCCAGCTCTTCCCCCCAATTGCAGCGTGAAGGAGGGTGCCAACAAGGAGGTGCTGGGGATCCTGGTGTCGTACAGGGTCAAGGTGAAGCTGGTGGTGGCCCGCGGTGGGTGAGTGTGTCTCGGGCAGCCTGGGGGGCGGGGCTTGCCATGGTTTCCTCCCGCCCTGCGCCGTCGGCATCTCTTCACGCTGCCTCTCCCCCTCCCCAGGGACGTCTCAGTGGAGCTGCCTTTTGTTCTTATGCACCCCAAGCCCCATGACCACGTCAGCCCCCCCAGACCCCAGTCAGGTAAGCATGTCACCCCAAGCCCCCCAAAGGGAGGACCCGAAGCCAGACCAGTGGGGAAGGCTGGTCCTACCCACCCACCCACCCAGCTCTCCTCCTCCCCTCAGCGACTCCTGAAACAGATGTCCCTGTGGACACCAACCTCATTGAATTTGATACCAAGTAAGACCCTCATCCCCTCCCTCCCTACCTCTGACTCTTGCACAAAGATTCCCGTACCCTGCAGATCTACCTTCTACCCCTCCCCTGACATTTTTTTTCCTCTCTGGGGGGAGGGATGGTTGAGTCATCAAGTCCACTGCCCCTTTCTTCGTCCCCTCCTGCAAATACCTCCAGTCCCATTGCCGCTCTAACACCCCGGTCTGCAGGCGGAGGGTGGGAAGCTGAGCAGAGGGTCCGAAGCCCTCGCCTCAACCCCCCCTTTCCGCCTCCAAGCTACGCCACAGATGACGACATCGTGTTTGAGGACTTCGCCCGGCTTCGGCTGAAGGGGATGAAGGACGAGGACTACGAAGACCAGTTCTGCTAGGAAGGGGTGCTGGAAGAAGGGGGTGGATGGTGCTGGGAGGGGGAGGGGCAGGACCAAGACCCCCCCCCGCCCCCACTGCCACTGGGGTGGGTCCCTGCCCCTTTTCCCTTCCCCTCCTTCCAGCTTCCTCAACCAACCCCTCCCCTCCCCTCTCCCTCTCCTGTCCCAGCCCCTCCCCCCGTACGCACTGGACCCATCTCCTGTTGAACATGGGCATTAATTCTTCGACTACAGCTGTGCTGCCCCACCCCCCCCACCCCCCCAGCGGGTGGCAAGCTGTGTTCAGACCTAAAATTGTTGGAGGGGGGGGATGCTGAAATGAGGAGTGATAGTAGGAAAAGGGGGAAGGCACAACTGCACACTCAACCTCATGCCCTCTCGTCACCGTCTGCCTCCCACTCCTTCAAGCTGAGACCCTTTGCAGGGGGCAAAGCCACTTCTCTGTTTCTGAGCATAAAGAATAAACCTTTTCATAGGCCTGCGAGTATGTGTTTTCTGTGCGGCGTTGGAGGACTGTGCTCATCCGCGAGTCTGTTAGCTTGTGGGCGAGGACCTCATCTCTCCCCTCTACCCACATGGCACCTGGCCCGCCGGCTGTCAAGTAATGTTTATTGAGTGACTGGGCTGTAGCTGTGTTCCAAGGTAAACACCGAAACTTAATTTGGGCAGTCCAAACGCAAGGGCACAGTTTGGAAAAAGCCACAAAGTTTAGGCTCTTCCTGGTTGCGGCCCACACACACGTGCCCGCACGGTTCCCCCCTGCTGACCTAGTGTATCCGTTGCCACTGCTCCTCAGGTCACTCAGGCTGTCCCTCCCTGGGGCTCAGGGCAGCCTCGCCAGGCGGAAGTCACACTCCCCGTGGGGGCTGGTACTACATTCGGATGTGGAAGCCAAGGCTTTGGGCGGCCAGAGAGTCGTGCTGCCGTGGGCAAGTTTGAGCAGCAGCATCCAACTCTGATGCTCATCAGAGACTCCCTGGGGCTTGGCCAAAACCCGAGGCCAAGGTAGAGAGAGTTAACACTCCACTGACATTCCTCACCTCCACCACCCGCTGCCACTCCACAGCACAGGCTCCCTCTCCTTTTCCTCGTGAAGGCTCGTTCATCCCGTGAACATTCTTGGTTTTAAATCCCAATTATGTGCCGGGCATAGCAGTGACCTAACCCAAGGGTCAGCAAACTCATTAGTCAACAGAGCCAAATATCAACAGTACGAGGATTGAAATTTCTTTGGAGAGCCACATTTTTGAAACTTAAACTTCTTCTAATGCCACTTCTTCAAAATAGGCTCACCCAGGCCATGGTGTTTTGTGGAAGAGCCACACTCAAGGGGCCAAAGAGCTGCATGTGGCTCGAGAGCCGCAGTTTGCCCACCATGGACCTGACCAAATATTAAAGCATTCCCTAATTATTTAATTACAGTATCTGTGCTCCAAAGGAGAAGTACAGCAGCTATACGGGAGCTCTGACCTAGACTGGGTTTGGGGGAGAGTTTCCTGGAGGAAGTGACCTTTGAGCAGAGAACTGAAACCTCAGGGGGAGGCCCACATTCCGGGCAGTGGCAACACCATGAGGCAGAGGGGAACAGCTTATTCAGGGACTGGAAGGCCAGAGGGACGATGACAAGGAGCCACGAGCAAAGTAGCTCCAGCTGCGGCTGGTAAGGCAGATAGGACAGCCCATACAAGCCTCTGACAGCTCCTAACATCTAATTAAGTCATTATTTACCCACAGGCTTCCAGCGCTGCCCAGATGCCAATGACCTTGCTTACCTCTCCACAGTAGCACACCCTGCACACCTTGGTTTTTGTCACATCCCTGACTCCCATGAGCCTGCTGCTCTTTGACCTCTGAGCTCTTGGCCCATGGCTCAAACTTCAGGTGAACCAGAATCCTCTGGAATGCGAAGGGAAAACAGTCCTAGGCTCTCCCTTCCCAGATTCCAATTCAGTAGTCCCAGGAAGAATCCATGAAATGGGAGTTTGAATTAGCACACATTTTGAGAAACAATGCCTTTTTTCTTTTAGCTTTGCATGTTTTTAAGAAGATTAAAAAATTTTTTCAAACAGTAAACAGTGAAAAGAAGGCACACTCCTGCCTCTGACTCCAGCCTTCCATTTCTCATTCCCAGAGGTAACCACTATCCTAATTCTTTGATTTCTCTTCCAAAGTTGTTACTCAAACTCACTCATGACAAAAAAAAAAAAAAAGACTATATATTTCTCTTTTATTTTTTTAAAATATTTTATTGATATTTTACAGAGAGAAATATCAATGAGAGAGAAACATCTACCAGCTGCCTCCTGCACACCCCCTACTGGGGATGTGCCCACAACCAATATACATGCCCTTGACCGGAATCGAACCTGGGACCCTTCAGTCCCCAGGCCGACGCTCTATCCACTGAGCCAAGCCAGTTAGGGCTCCCCCTTATTTTAAATACAGATAGTGGCATACTATGAACACTCTTCTACACCTTGCTTTTTTCCTTTAGAAATGCAGCTAGGAGAGCATTCCCTTAATATATAGAGATTTACTTCATTCTTTTAAAGAGCTGCATAGCTTCCCAGTGCCTAGATGTCATTTATTTTTACCAGTTTTCTATCAATAGACCTGAAGGAGGTCCACTTTTGCTAATTCAAACAATATTACAGTAATTGTCCTTGAAGATATGTCCTTTGCCCATGTACAGTATATCTGTAGAGCAAATTCATAAAGCGGAGTTAGTGAGTTAGACAGTGAGCACCTTTTTTATCACTGCCGATCAAACATGTGACATCTCCCTAGTTTCAATTTGCATTTTTTTGTTTAGGAGTGAGGATGAACCGGATTTACTGGTTACTGGGTTCCTGTCAACCCATGGTCTTTGGCACTAATTCAGTGCCAACAGGAACCCCCCGTCTGGAGTGCGGTGAAAAAGGAAATCTTATTCAGCGCAAAACAGCTCAATTGTGATACAGCTGGGCAGTGAAAACTGCCTGACTGTGAAGTGGGCCTGGGGCCTCGCTGATCTCTTTGTGCTGGTCTTCATGGGAACAGTCTTCAGTGGAAAGGAAAGTGTATTCCCAGTGCAGCCCGAGGGGACCTAACTTACATAGATAGAAGTCCTGGCCATGGCCCCCATTGGTCTATCATGCAAATGAGGACTCCAAATTCTCACAATTTGATTGGTCCAAAAAAGTCTTTATTGGTCAGAATGGAGCTGCTCTAATTGGTTGGTGAAGCTGATTGGGGGTGTATTAGCTGTATAGCTCCAGTTGGATGGGAAAAGCCTCAGTTCTATTGGTTGAAACAGGATTCCAGGAACTCCTTTGTAAGGGCTGGCTCAGATGGCAGAAACACAGTGCAGGATTGTTTTTGTTTGAATTTGAGCCCAATTAGCCACCAGGAGCCCATCTTAGTAGATATTTTCTTTCTCGTGAGCCACAATGCTATCTTTTATAATAAGAGCTCTTTTTAAAAAAAAAATATTTTTATTGATTTCAAAGAGGAAGGGAGAGAGAGAAACATTGAGAATCATTGATCAGCTGCCTCCTGCACACCCACACAGAACTGAGCCTGCAACCCAACCCAGGCATGCGCCCTGACTGGAATTGAACCATGACCTTCTGGTACATAGACTGATGTTGAAACAATGAGCCACACTGGCCAGGCCCTAAAGTTCTTCATGTAGTAAAGAAATTAGGTCTTTGTCATAAATTTTGCAAATATTTTTCACACTTTATCTTTTTTTTAAAGTATATTTTATTGATTTTTTACAGAGAGGAAGGGAGAGGGAGAGTTAGAAACATCAATGAGAGAGAAACAACAATCAGCTGCCTTCTACACACCTCCTTCTGGGGATGTGCCCACAACCAAGGTATATGCCCTTGACCAGAACCGAACCTGGGACCTTTCAGTCCGAAGACCGATACTCTATCCACTGAGCCAAACCAGTTAGGACTACTATCTTTTTAATGCTTCTAGTTTTGTTTTGTTTTTCTTTTTACTGAAATCAAATTCATATAACATAAAGTTAATCATTTTAAAATGAATTATTCAGTGGCATTTAGTATATTCACAATGTCATGTGACCATCACTTCTAGTTTCAAAGTATTTTACTTCTGGTATTTTTAATGACTCATAAGTTTTTCATTTTAATGTAGCATATTATAATCATTTTTTATGGCTTCCTTTTTTTTTTTTTTTTTTTTTTGTCACAAGCTCTTCGCCCTGTTTCCTCACAATTTGACACTTCCTTTTCTTTCCACACTAACTTCAAGATCATCATATCCTCCACTATCTCATCAGCACCTTCAACTCTTGCTCCTTTCACAATACACGCTCTCAAACCCCACCCTTGGCTCTGCTGACCATCACCCTGCCCTTCTCCACTCCAGCACTGGGCTGCTGAGCACTGCCAGAGAAAACTCGCACAGCCAAATTTATTCATTCATTAAGCAAAAAAAAAATTTTTTTAACATGTCCTAGGTGCACCAACACTGTGCTGGGTACAAATTTGGGGCCAGGACAAACTTCTGGTCTCCGGCCCCAGCTGGGCCCTCAATATCTGACAACCCTTTGTCTCACTCCATGTCCTTGGTCACCTCCCTCTCCTGCTCCCATCTTACTAATTTTCCAAACCCTCCACATGTTCATAGTGACTTCCCCTTCTATTTTTCACAAACATTAAACTATGAGGGATGAACGATTTCAACTTCCTACTTCCTCCCAACAAACACTGACATCTAAACCAATTCTCCTAGACAACCAAGGTTAAGATGCCTTCTCCAGTTCAGAGCTAATCCCTCCACCTGTGCTCAGACTGCCCTCTCTTCAACCCCTGCCTCTCCCTACTAGTTCTCCCTCCAAGGTAAATAAATCCATGCAAGTCTCTTCTGCTAAAGAAAGGAAGGGAGAAAGGGAGAGGGTGGGAGGAGGAAAGGTGGGTGAAAGAAAGGAAACCAAAGAAAAAACACTCCTCCACGCTTAATTCTCTTTCACAGTAAAATGTATCTCTATTTCCTTTCTTTTCATTTTTATTGTTTTTATTTTCAAAGTTATATATGCACATAGTTTGAGGCTCCAGATAGGACTACAAAGTCTATTTCAATAAAGAGTAGACCCTTCCCCACACCAATTTCCTTCTCAGAATCGCCTCTGAGATTTTTCTTTTAGTATTTCCCTCCGTATCTCTAAACAACATGTTCATCAAATTTTGTTTTTAAGCACCATCTACTGGCTTCCCTCCATGTAAAGTGAAAGCTGAGCTCCTTCTTCCCTCTGCCCCACCATGGATCACTTTCCATCCTGCCCCTGCATGCTATACTCCCAAGAGAATTATATCAGTTAGAGTTAGATCAATATTCATTATTAGCTTATGTAATGTTATTCATAGCTGTCATGTGATATCTATGTAATGCCTTTCTCCTCTTCCATAACTTTATTTTCCCTGAATCTCATTTAAAAATTTGATTATTCTCTGAATTTATCACTAATTCTGCCTTATATTCATCCAAAAGTTTATGTATTCTCTTAATTCAGTCAAATCAAAACAGATGTTCACCTCTTATCTCCTTGAAAAATTTCTCTAGGAGCCTTCCAATCTGGGTCTAACTCTAATAACCTCCTGAAAAAGGGTACGTGGGAGAAAAATTTGAAACCTTATATCAAAATGTCTTTATTCTGTCTTCATTATTGATAATTTAACTGTTGTGAGAACCTAGATATCACATAAAATCTATTCTTACCCGGTGCTAGAATAGCTGGCCAACTAGGTAAAGACTGGATTTCCCTAATCATTGATAGAGACCATATGCCTACGTTTTTTTCAATGGAATGTGAATAGAAATTGTATGAGCCACTTCCTGGCCAGACCTGAGATTGGTATAACCCTACATTTTTATTTCCCCGTCCCTGCCAGCTTCTTCCCAGGATGGCAGCCACCTAGTTTTGACATTATGGACACCAATGCCCTAAATTTTACTACACATACCCATCATCTGGGGATGTTCAAGCACAGATGCTGAGGCCTGTGGTGGGGCCTGAAATATTGTATTTCTTTTTTCTTTTTCTTTTTTTCTTAAATATATTTTATTGATTTATTACAGAGAGGAAGGGAGAGGGATAGAGAGCTAGAAACATCGATGAGAGAGAAACATCGACCAGCTGCCTCCAGCACACCCCCTACCAGGGATATGCCTGCAACCAAGGTACATGCCCTTGACTGGAATCGAACCCGGGACCCCTCAGTCTGCAGGCCGACACTCTATCCATTGAGCCAAACTGGTTTCGGCGAGATATTGTATTTCTAACAAGCTTCTAGGTAATGCTAATGCTGCTGGCCTACAGACCACACTTTTCAGTATAAGCACTGGTTCACCACCTTTCTAATGCAGTGACCTTTTAATGCAGTTACTCATGTGGAAACTCCCAACCATAAAATTATTTTTGTTGCTACTTCATAACTGTTATTTTGCTATTGTTAATGAATCATAATGTAAATATCTGTGTTTTCCGATGGTCTTAGGTTCATTTTAGATATCTTAGCAACACACAGGTTGAGAACTGCTGCTGTAGAGCCTAAGACCATCAGAAAACACAGACATTTACATTACGATTCATTTAACAGTAGCAAAACTAAAGTTATGAAGTAGTAACGAAAATAATTTTATGGTTGGGGGTCACCACAACATGAGGAACTGTATTAAAAGGTTGCGGCATTAGAAAGGTTGAAAACCACCGCCCTGAAGGATGACAATATATTGCAGGCCTTGGTCTCTGTATGATTTGTGGAGCACACTGAACTACCCGCTTTTTTTTTTTTTTTTTTAATAAGAAAAAAATAAGTTCTATTTTGTTGAGTCATTGCATTTTTAGCCTTCACCCTAGCAGAGCTGGAGTATAGAATTCCAGATTGGAAATCACTTTCCCCCCAAATGCTGAAGGCATGACCCACTGTCTTCTAGTCTGGAGTGTTACTATTAAGAGGCTCAGTGCCATTCTAACCGCTGACCCTTCATATGTGGTCTGTTTTGCATCTGATATTTCATGATGTGCCTTGATGCTGGGCAGTGGATGGGCCCTTTTCATCTGGAAGCACAAGATCTTCCTTTATTTTTTTAAAATGTGTTTTTATTGATTTTTAGAGAAAGGGGGAGGAAAAGAGCGATAGAAACATTGACAAAAGAGAAACATCACTGATTGGCTGCCTACTGCACGCACACTACCAGGGATCTAGCCAGCAACCTGGGCATGTGCCCAGACCAGGAATCAAACCAACAACCTCTTGGTTCATGGGTCGACACTCAACCATTGAGCAACACAGGCTGGGCAGCCCTTCCTTTCTTACTCTTATTTTTCTCTGATCTCTAAATCCCCTGGTCTGATTCTCTAATCCACTTCCTCCTTTTTCCCCCCCTGTATGCCTTCTTTTGTTTTACTTTCTGGAAGTTTCTCAATTTCTCTTTAAACCCTTTTATTAGAATTTTCCATCCCTTCCCTCAGGGGTTTTACTTTTCAAGTGTGTTTTCTTAGATGCCATCCTTTATTATAATATCTCTTATGTAAAAGTATCAATAGTTTTCTTTTTCCTTAAGTTTTACTTTACATTTCTCTGGACAAAGTTGGGACCTGCCAACCGTGGGTTTCATCATGGGGTGATCTGGCTAACTGCTTTGTTAGGGGACCCCCGGTGTTAGTACTATAAGGTGTTTTCTCTCACTGGTTAGATTATCCAGAGAAGAGCCTTCCAGTCTCTGATCTGGATGGCAGAGTTCAAGAAACCACCTCTCAGTAAGTAAACTTTCACTTCTCTATTTTCAATGCAACTGTTCCCAAATATCCTTCATGCTGAAGACCCTCTGTTTTCCATCTCCAACAAAAAAGTCTCCAGTAATATTATGGGTTGGAGGTGAGTAGTTGCCCAGATATATGGAGTAAAGGAGGAGATGGGAGAGATCTAAATACTTCAAAGAATCCTCCTAATGTTAGTACCACCTACACCCCAGTTGTATATGATGCTAGTAATTCAAGGATATATCAAGTTGCTTTTAAACTTTCTTCACTGCTGGTTTAGTTACCACTTCACTGCTAAATCAGTTGCCACTGCCCAACCGGTGTGGCTCAGTGGTTAAGGATGGATCCCTGAACCAATTTTGATTCCTGATCAGGACACAAGTTTGGCTTTTGGGCTCCATCCCCAGTAGAGGGCGTGCAAGAGGCAGCCAATCAGTGATTCTCATCATTGATGTTTCTATCTCTCCTCCCTTTCTCTGAAATCAATAAAAAACAAACATGTTTTTAAAAAGTTTTTAATAACATCAGTTGCCACTTATCCTTCTTTTTTTCAGTTTCTATCTAAAACTTTGCTATTACCTCCTCTTTCTTTTTGACCCCTTTATGAAATCCCATATTGTTATTTTACTATTTTTTTAAACTTTCTTTTTCTTTTTCTTTTTAAATATATTTTATTGATTTTTTACAGAGAGGAAGAGAGAGGGATAGAGAGTTAGAAACATCGATGAGAGAGAATCATTGATCAGCTGCCTCTTGCACACACCCTACTGGGGATGTGCCTGCAACCAAGGTACATGCCCCTGACCAGAATCGAACCTGGGACCTTTCAGTCAGCAGCCCGACGCTCTATCCACTGAGCCAAACCGGTTTCGGCTATTTTACTATTATTCTTCTTAATCCTCACTCGAGGATATTTTTTTCCATTGACTTCTAGACAGAGTGGAAGGGAGAGAGAAGAGGGAAAGCCCCCTGTTGTTAATTTTGATATTTTTCCATTGCTTTTTAGAGAGAGTGGAAGGGCGGGGGAGAAACAGATAGAGAGAAACATCCTTGTGAAAGAGACACGTCGATTGGTTGCCGACCAGGGCCAGGGATCTAGCCTGCAACGGAGGTACGTGCCCTTGATCTGAACCTAACCCAGGACCTTTCCTACTGCGGGCCACAACACTCTATCCACTGAGCCAAACCAGCTAGGGCCAGATCCCCTCAAGTTCCAACTGGAAGTCTCCATTCACTCGCTAACCCTATGCAAACTGGTTTCATTCTCAGTCTTCCATAATCTGTCAACAGTGAACCATCCAAACGGGTAAATCTGCCACAACTCACCAATTAGAACCCTTCAAAGGTCCCAGATGCCTTCAGAACAAAGTCCAAGTCACTTAGCTCACAAACCTTTTCCAGATCTGTCCGCTCACTCCAGTCTCACCAGCCACACCTCACCACCACCACATTCCATTCGCTCGAACCGAATCCCTCGCCGTCCCTTCCGATGTGCTGGACCCCTTCAAGGACCATGCGCTTGCCTGTGCCAGTTCCTTTTTCCTCTCCAACCAGGTAGAGATACCTGGTTAACGCTTTAGATTCCGTCCAAGCGGCACCTCCTCCCAGAGTCCTCTCTCTGTGCTCCTGGTGACACACCTGAGGGCATAAATCTCTAACAAAACGCCTGTGCCGCTATCGCGGGAGAGCCCATCTCACCCATCTTTGTACACCAGAGACCGCCACACAATGGGAAAACCAGAAAGGGAAGGGTGAAAAGGCTGAAACAGGCCGGCTTCTGAGAATAGACTGAGAGTCGGTGCTCCAGCTGGGCTCCCGTGCAGGAGGAAGCGCTCGGGCGAAGAATGCAACACTCACCACATCCAGCTCTCCCCGGGCCCCCACAGACGGCGGCGCCGGGTGGGCACACAGAGAGGGTCCCACGGCTGCGTAATCGGGAAGAACGCCCCAGAACTCCCACCATCATCACCTAGCGCCAGCAGACGCCCAATTAATTCTTACAGAAGAAACTAACTATAGACCACAGGAAAATGTCGTGAAGGTTGGACGGGTCAGAACCGCCCCCCGGTTACAGAACGTTCAGGTCCTCCGGTCTCTGGCGCTGGTAGCCCTGAGGCGGCGGCGCAGAGCTCCCTGGGAGTTGTAGTTCGCCAGGTGAGCCGCGAAAGGCGAGGCTTCGCTGAGCACCCTGGGAATTGTAGTGTCGGCTAGAGATCCGCTCTCCGCGCCGGCGCAAACCGACACTCCCTTCCTTCCGGGTCAAACGTCGGCGCTTCGCAAAAGGGGGAAAATCCTGTGGGTTCCCCGTGTGTTTGGCAATGGCTACCTACAGCCTGGCGAACGAGCGACTCCGCGCCTTGGAAGACATCGAACGGGAAATCGGCGCCATCCTTCAGAATGCAGGTTCGGGAAACGAGGACCGGAAGGCAGAGAGCGAGCCCGAGCCCCGAGCACGCGCGCCAACCTGAGATTGGGAGCGGGGCAAGGGAGGAAGCGGGTTCTAGCGCCGCGAGGGAGGGCGGGGCTGGGGGGTGGCCCTTGGGCGGGCTGGACTTCGGGACTCCGAGTAGCCCTGCCCTCTCTCTGTCCCTGCAGGTACCGTAATCCTGGAACTTTCCAAGGAGAAAACCAACGAACGGCTGCTAGACCGACAAGCGGCGGCTTTCACGACGTCGGTGCAACACGTAGAAGCGGAGCTGTCGGCTCAGATCCGCTACCTAACCCAGGTGTGCGGGTGGTGGGAGGTGCAGTGTGCCCATCCCGGCTCTCTGCCTTAGCCTTAGCCTTAGCCTTAGCCTTCTGAAGGCCCAGGCGGAGCCTTGACCTCGGGAGTCAGGCAGGACCAGGCCGCGCAAGCCGGCGCCAAGCCGGATGAATGACCCTGGCAGGACTCCTCCGTTCCATGACTGGTTTCTTCCTATAAAAGGAAAGGCGGCCCTGCCTTTTCACGGGTTTCATCACGTGAACCACTAGATAAGGAAGGGGAGGGCTGGTAAACAACCCCAGAGCCATAGGACTTTGTTCCTAGAAACTGACCTCAGACCGAAACCGGTTTGGCTCAGTGGATAGAGCCTTGGCCTGCTGACTGAAAGGTCCCGGGTTCGATTTCGATCAAGGGCATGTACCTTGGTTGCAGGCACATCCCCAGAAGGGGGTGTGCAAGAGGCAGCTGGTCGATGCTTCTCTCTCATCGATGTTTCTAGCTCTCTATCCCTCTCTCTTCCTCTCTGTAAAAAATCAATTAGATAGATAGATAGCTCTCTATCTCTCTCTCTCTCTTCCTCTCTGTAAAAATCAATTATATATATATCTATAGATAGATAGGTAGATGTTGGCAGGTAAAACACATTAAAAAAAAAAAAAGAAAGAAAGAAACTGACCTCAGGAGCCTGAAAAGCTACTCCTGAGAAAAGAGATGGGGATTCTGAAGTCATTACAATAGCAACCACTACTTAACAAACTTTTACAACGTACCAGACAGTCTGCATGATCTTATTTAATCGCACAACTCTAGGGATTAGTTGTTGTCACCCCATTTCCCAGATGAGGTGATCAGAAGTTCAGTGGTTTGCCCTAAGTCATCCAGCTACCATGTGGTGTGGATTCAGACTGGGAAGAAATGAGACAAGAGACCTGATGGCTTGTTGGGAGATGGATAAGGGAGGGGGTGCTTCGTTGACCAGTTGAAATGTCCTCTAGGTGGCCACAGGGCAGCCCCATGAGGGCTCCAGCTACTCTTCAAGGAAGGACTGCCAGATGGCACTGAAGCGAGTGGACTATGCTCGCCTCAAGCTCAGTGAAGTGGCCCGAACCTGCGAGCAGATGCTGGAAAGCTAAGCCAAGTAGGCAGAGACATCGGGGAGGGAGATCACCACCTCCACCCGGGACAGAACTTGGAGACCTGTAGGATGAGGAGCACAGGCTGCCGTGCTCGCCTGCCCACCACTCTGTGCTGGCTCCTCCAGCAGGTGCCCCAGCTCTGACTTCACCAAAGTGCTGACAGGCTCAGACAGGAGGCGAGAGTCAGTCACCCAGCCCACTTCCTCCGATACTTCGTGTCCTTGTCTGCTTCCGCAGACTTGAGCCAATGAAGATACATTCTTCATTGGAAGAGATAAAACAGGAACTAAGGGTTTTAATAATAAAAGACAACAATAAAGACTATCGCTGGGGCATATATGAGTGTCACAAGGAATTGAGGAAGTAAATCCGGCCGGATGGCAGCTGGTGGCTGCTGAGGGAGGGTGGGAAAACCCAGGCCTTAAGTGTGGGGTCAGGGGAGGAAGCAAGTGAGGGCTGAAGTTGGTGTGGTATAGAGAGACTTTGGGGAATGGGGCACCATCAGCAGAGAAGCTGAAGCCAGGAATCCTGGTAAAGGGGCAAGGGCATGAGGCCAATGTATACAGAAAGAAGAGTCAATAATTAGAAAAATAACTTTTAGTAAAAATAATACACATTCAGAATTTTACACAATGTAAAGACAAAAAGAAAAGCAAAAGAAAATTCCAACAGGGCAGTGGCTGGTTAAACAGTAACAGATATGTGCAGAGTGCCTACTATGTGCCAGAGAGAATGTTCCCGTTTATCAGATGTTTCTGATAGTGAATGAATCACATTTTCTACCCTCACAAGCTCCCATTCTTAGCCCAAGTGTTGGAATATGGGGCCACAGGAATATATTGAAGCTGCAAATCTGGAAAAGACATTGGGAGATGAGCTCTGAGATCAAGGGAAGTTGGAAGTGATAGCTAGAAGTAGAGAATCAGACTCCAAAACATTTAATCAGACAATCTCAATAAAGGTACTCAATAAAGACTTGTGAATTAAATGAATGGCTCCCACTTTCTACCCCTTCATCTCCCACTGGTCTGCTCCAGCTGCCATCTTGATGTTTCTTCAAGCACTGGTCCCAAGGCCCATGGTGGCTTCCCTCCCTCCCCATTCCGTATTCTGGTTGACTCTTCTCACGAGACCTATGGTCCATGGTGCAGATAGCCTTCATGTTTGTTTGCCTGGGGTGGATTTCCAGCTATCTGGAAGCTACTGGGATCAGGGAACTGGTCCCCCATGGAAAGCTTCCACTTCACCTGGAGAGTACTGCGGTGACTGATTACTTCTCCTCTTACACCGCCCATAGAGAAGGACTGCAGTGAGGAAGAAGCTGGCCAAAAGCACTGGCACTGTGACATATATCCCAGGTGTAGGATCCACATTTCCTTCCAGCTGCTTCTGGTTCGCCCCAGCTGCAGGCCCAGTCTCTAGATTGTGGCCCACAGAGGAAGCAGTGGTTTCGGGGGAGTGGATGAGCTTTGTATCCAAGGACAGTGTTGGTACAGGAAAGGTAGGCTGCTGGGTGGACTGCAGGGTGAGAGGCAGGTACGTCTGAGCAGGGATGTCTGTGACGGCAGGTGCCCCTTCAGTGGACTCGGGAATTGGGGTGCTGTGGGGAGGTGAATGCTCCTGCTGGACCACTCTCTCAGAGTAAGCATGTCCACATTCTGGAAAGGCAAGAAGTGAGGAATCATGGTTATGAGGAGACTGGGTGAAGAAGCAGAGGCAAGGGTAGTGGGTTAAGGAGAATATCGGGAACAGCTGAAGACCAGGAGAGAAAGGTGGGGGAGAAGGAAGTAAACCAACTGCAACATGAAACCACTGGGACAGAGGTGTGTTCTGACCTGGGTTGGGCCCAGTCAGTGTTGCTTAGTGGTTGGATGTCGACACATGCACCAGGAGGTTGCTGGTTCGATTCCCAGTCAGAGCACATGCCCACGTTATGGGCTCAATCCCTGGAGGCAGCCCATTGATATTTCTGTATCTCCCTTCCTCTCTCTAAAAATCAATAAAAAATATTTTCTAAAGGAAAGAGAGAGACTTGGGTTGCAATCTGCTAGGAAGTAGCTGTGTGACCTTGCCCTTGTCTCTTAACCTTTCAGGGACTCATTTGTTTCAATTGTAGAGGGGATAATTTAGTACCAAGGGCCATAGTAGCTGGGAGTGTTACATGAAATAACGTAGGCCAACAGAGCTCAGAGGGCAGGAAGTTCACCATGTATGTTACCAAGACTTTAGGCGGGATGTGAGAAACACTTTGTATTTTAATGGTTGTGTATTTCTTTTAGGAGAAAATACAACCAGTAAATTTATGATTTCACAGATGGTATTGCCTAGGGCAAGTTGCTACTTAAGTTTTCAAAAGTAGCTTGTGGCCCGGCCAGTGTTGCTCAGTTGGTTGAGCTTCATCCCATGAACCAGGAGGTTGTTGATTCTATTCCTGATCAGGGCACATGCCCAGCTTGTGGGCTCAGTCCCCACTAGTGGGTGTTCAGGAGGCAGCCAATGGAGGGTGTTTCTATCTCCCTCAGTCTAAAATCAATAAACCATTTTTTAAATGCTTTGTGTACACTTTAGATTTATTCATCTCAAAAAGAAAGAAGACTCATTTCATTGTGTGCAAATTCCACCTCAAAAGAAAAAAGGAACAATAAAACACTGAATTGTATATGCATGCCGAAATGTTTGGAAGTGAAGTATAGTCCTGCCTACAACTTACCTGGAAATACATTAAAAAAAAAAAAAAAAAAAAAAGGTGGGCCCTGACTGGTTTGGCTCAGTGGGTAGAGTGTCGGCCTGCGGACTGGAGGGTCCTGGGTTCAATTCTGATCAAGGGCATGTACCTTGGTTTCGGGCACATCCCCAGTCGGGGGTGTGCAGGAGGCAGCTGATGATGTTTCTCTCTCATTGATGTTTCTAGCTCTCTATCCCTCTCCCTTTCTTTCTGTAAAAAAATCAATAAAATATATACATATTTTTAAATAAGGTGGATTCATGATAGAGAATGAATAGACAGATGAATGTGTAATAAAGCAAATATAATTAAAATGCTGTAAAGTCAATATTGCAAAATATAAAATGTATTTGCTTTATCATGTACATATATAAAATACGTAAAATATAAACATAAAGGAATCTAAGATGGCTGCCCAGGTAAACACCTAGCCGCAGCCCCACACAACAATTTCAATAAAATACAACTAAAATATAAAATGGGAGAGAATCCAAGATGGCTGCTCAGATAGGCAACTAGCCGCAGCCGCACACAACAATTTCAACAAAATACAACTAAAATATAAAATGGACATTACCCAGAACTACAGGAAAGTCGACTGACTGGAAATTCTACAACAAGAAGCAAGGAGAAAACCAGAAGGAAGCGCGGAGGAGCTGTAAAAACCCAAGGCACAGAGACGCGGCGCGCGCGGAGAGAACAGAGCCGGAGAGGAGGGAGGCCGAGTGCCTGGCTGGCGGTCCCAAGCGGGAAGGAGAGAAAAGCTCCGACTGTGCTGGGCCCAGCTCCAACTGCTCTGAACCCCAATTCTAGGCCAGACCCCAGGGACCCAGGCTCATCTATAGGGAGCCGGGCTGTAAGGCGGGACTCCGGGGAAGCGGTGAAAGGAGGTCCCGGAGGCGCGCACACTGCACGCAGAGAAGGGCGGGCCAGCTGTGCAGCAGGATTGCCCTGACGGGAAGGAGACAGGGGCTCCAGACTGCTCTGAACGCCACCTCCAATCCCACTACCAACTGAACTGAACCCCAATACCGGACTCATTGGGGGAGAGCATAGATAGTTTGGCAGCAGGCGAAAATCGAGGGCACCTTTCTCTCAGAGGCTCTCGCAACAAGTACTGAAGGACCCTGAGTCTCAGGAGTCGCATAGGGCGGGACTGACGGAAGCCAAGGCTGTAGGCTCCACCCTGAAACCCCGCCCCATCAGGAAAGCTGCCTGCGAAAATGCCTAAACCAAATAGATCACAAACGAAAGAAATGGAGGACAAAAAGCGACTGGATATAGAGTTCAAAACCACACTTATAAGGTTGTTCAAGAATCTCCTAGAAAAGGCCGATAAAATAAACAAGACCAGCCGGGACTGGTTTAGCTCAATGGATAGAGCATCGGCTTGGGGACTGAAGGGACCCGGGTTCGATTCCGGTCAGGGGCATGTGCCTTGGTTGCGGGCATATCCCCAGTAGGGGGTGTGCAAGAGGCAACTGATCGATGACTCTCTCTCATCGATGTTTCTAACTCTCTATCTCTCTCCCTTCCTCTCTGTACAAAATCAATAAAATATATTTAAAAAAATAATAATAAAATAAATAAATAAATAAACAAGACCTATGAGGATATGAAAAGGGATCAACTAGAAATAATAAGGGATCAACAAGAAATAAAGAATACATTGTCTGATGAACCAACATCAGAATTATGGGGGTCCCAGAAGATGAGAGAGAGCAAGATATCGAAAACATACTGAAAGAAATAGTGACAGAAAACTTCCCCCAATTGGTGAAAGAATTAGACTTACAAGTCCAGGAAGCGCACAGAACTCCAAACAAAAGGAATCCAAAGAGGACCACACCAAGACACATCATAATTAAAATTCCAAGAGCAAAAGACAGAGAATATTAAAAGCAGCAAGAGCAAAGCAGGTAGTTACCTATAAAGGAGCACCTATACGATTGTCAGCTGATTTCTCAACAGAAACCATGCAGGCCAGACGGGAATGGCAAGAAATATTCAAGGTGATGAATAGTAAGAACCTACAGCCAAAGATAATCTATCCAGCAAAGCTATCACTCAGAATCGAAGGTCAGATAAAGAGCTTCACTAATCAAAAAAAAGCTAAACGAGTTCATCAACACCAAACCAGAATTATATGAATTGCTGAAGGGGGTTCTTTCAGAAGAGAAAGTAAATAAAGATAAAAATTATGAACAACAAATACGTAACTATCAACAAGTGAATCTAAAAACCAAGGAAATTAAAAAAAAATCTGATGAATAATATTAACTGTTGAATATATTGTAATAGAATCAGAGGTATGGAAGGGGAGTGAACTGACAATTCTTGGGGAAAAGGGGAGAGGGGGATGTGGGAAGAGACTGAACATAAACCGTGCACCTATGGATGAGGACAATAGGGAGTGGGGAAAGGGCAGAGGGTGGGGTGGGAACCTGGTGGAGGAGAGCAATGGTGGGGGGGGGGGGAAGGAACATTTGTAATAATATGAACAATAAAAATTTATTTAAAAAAAATATATATATAAACATAAAAACTAAGTATTGTAGAATCTAGGTCGTGGGTATATGGCTGTTTACAATTCAACTTTTCTATACTGTGTGTCTTTAAGTTCACATAAAAGAATGGAAAACAATAATAGTGTCCCGATTTCAAGGAAAATATTAAGTAAAGAATAGCACAAGGGTGAACTAGCAGAAAACCATGGAAGTGGTAGAGAATGATGTTTGGTGAACAGGGACTTAAATGAAAGTACTTTGGCAGCATCAGAAGAGGAAGGTGAGGACTCACGGGGGAAAGTCTGAGGCGAAGAAAATCAAAAGGTGGAGGCGGTGAGGCAGAGCCTGGAGAGGAGGGGGAAGCACTCACCTTTCCGATCAAAGCAGCTGGTCAGTTCAAGCACCCAGGGCTCTTTGCTGCCCCCGCAGACCCTCCAGGAATCTATTTGAAACCTTGGGAGGGACAACCTGGTTTTAGTTTCACGAGGGCCCCCCCTCCCCCTTTCCCACCCGTTTCCTCATTCCAAAGACATGAGATTACCTCCCCAGCTAAGGGAGCTGGGAGTTCCCGAAGGTGGAACAGGAAAGTGAAGGGAGACGTGGGGAATTTTAAGGGAAACCACCCAGAGAAGGGTTAGGTGCTCCCAGAAGGAGTCCAAGTTTGACCAGAGAGGGTCCTGGGGGCAGCGGGCAGGGAGGGAGTGCCAGGCGCTGCCTTAGGGGTGGGTGAGGTTACCTGACATAGCCGCCACAGGAAGCATGACCTTTCAGTTTTTGTCGGATACTTTCCATGAGTTTAACCGGTGGAGGAGAGTCCATGACTTTATGACAAAAACAGCTTCCCATTCTGCTGCCCTCATTGCCGGCGCCTGAGTGGGACAGAGGTCGAGCTCAGGTTCCCGGGCCAGGTGCCACCAGCGCGTCACATCCTCCAACCCACTGCCCCCCTGCAGCCTCTCCCCTGGGCCGGGCCTGACCGCCATGCTCACCCCACACAGCACACCCCTGAGGACTGTTCCTGCCCTAGCCGGTTTATTCCGCCTGGGCACTGGTGAGTCTGCCGGTTCCATTCCGGTCAAGGGCACACACCCCGGCTGCACCTCCATCCCCAGTAGCGGGGTGTGTGCAGGAGGCAGCCAACCCATTCAATCTCATCCCTTTGGGGGGGAGGGGGAGTAAAAAAAAATTATATATATATAAGCTCTAACCGGTTTGGCTCAGTGGATAGAGCATCAGCCTGCGAACTGAAAAGTCCTGGGTTGGATTCCGGACAAGGGCATGTACCTTAGTTGCGGGCACATCCCCAGTGGGGGGTGTGCAGGAGGCAGCTGATCGATATTTCTAACTATCCCTCTCCCTCCTCTCTGTAAAAAAATCAAATATATATATATATATATATATATATATATATATATATATATATATATATATATATATATATATATATAAAATATCACCTGTATCCAAGTGTCCCGCAGCCTGACTCCAACTCCAGGCAGCTGGCCCTCCCCCTGCCCTGGCTGCCCTGGGGACCTCCGGACGCGCCTGGCTCCGCAACTTATCCAACTCCATGCCGAGGCCCTAGTGTCTCCCCCACACACACAGCACACATGCGCATTCACACACAGCCACCCCCTTCCCCGGATTCGGGGGTCTAGGTCCCAGCCCGGCCCGACGCACCTGGCTCGATCAGAAGCGCTAGCAGCAGGAGGAGGAGGTGGAGCGCGGGGGACCCGGGCCCCCAGCTCCATCTCATCTCGGGGCAGCCGGGCCCAGCCTGGCTCCCCGGCAGGCTTCGGGGAGAGACGCTCGCTCGCTGGGCAGGTTTCGCGGAGGCTTTCGCTACCTTCGCCGGCTGCACCTGAGGTTCCGGGGGAGACGGGGGCCGTGGGCGCGGGAGCCCGGCCTCGACGGCGGCGGCGGACGACGGCGCGCGGCGGCGGCGCGCACCCTCCCTCCCGCGCTGGCACTCAGCTCGCGGCGGCGGCGTCTCGAACCGACACGACAGCGTGGTCGGTACGTCCACCCCGTGCGGCGGCTCCCGCGGGTGGGAAATTCCCGGAGACGGAGCGCTCCTTCGCCCGCGCCCACGCACCAGGCGGGAGCCTTCGTGGACGGGCGGGCCGGGAATGCCTGGAAAGAAGGAGACCGGACGCTTGGGCTTGCGGGGCGCGGCGGGCAGGTGGCTGCGTGTCGACGGGGATGCCAGCCGCCCCTGCCGCTCCGCTCCCCGCCGGGCCCTGGGGGCCTGGGACACGAGCGAGAGATCCGCCAGCCACCTCCTCCTCCAAGATGCTTTCACTTCCCGGGCTGGCTCCGCGGGATGTGTCACATGCCCGGGGTGATGGGACGGGAAAGTCCGCGGGCCTTCCGGAACCCACCCACGGCGCCAGGACGCGAGGAGGGGGCCACGGGCTCCGCCGCCCTGACGTCACCCCGCCCCCCACCCCGAGGTATTTACCTTCGAAAAGGGGTGGCGGCTGCAGGTACCGGAGGATCGGAACGGCCAGGAGAGGCTGTGTCTACGGAGGGGCGCACCGCAAACCGATCCAAACTGAAGGGATGCTGCCTCCTCCCACACCCCACAGGCGGATCCGAAACTCTCCCCTCCTTGCCAGACCCTTCCCCACGGGATAAGCCCTCACTCGCCTCTGCCCTAACTCAAACCCTGCCTTTGAAGGTTGGAGCCTCAAATTTTCAGCCCCAAGTACCATCTCACTCCCCCGTTACATCTTTAACCCTAAGGGTCTACTTTCTAGTCTTAGCTCCCGTTCTCATCCCGAGGATTCCCATCTTCAGCCTCGAAGCCTTATTCTCAGATCCTAACACTCACCTAGAGATCTCACCCTACCTGACCCTTACAACACACCCTCCCATTGTGTGACCCAGCACCGTCCTCTCCCCTCACCGTATAACCAACCCCTTCTCCGGCTCAGTCTGAGCCCAGGCCCTGGGCCCCCGACTGAAGACATGGAGTTTGTGTCTGGATATCGAGATGAGTTCCTTGACTTCACTGCCCTCCTCTTTGGCTGGTTCCGAAAGTTCGTGGCAGAGCGAGGGGCTGTGGAGACCAGCCTCGTGGGCCACTGGCGACAGTTGGAGGCGCAGATCCGAAGGCTGCCCCAGGACCCTGCCCTTTGGGTGCTCCACGTCTTGCCCAACCGTAGTGTGGGCATCAGCTTGGGGCAAGGGGCAGAGCCAGGCCCTGGACCAGGCCTGGGGGCGGGCTGGCTGCTGGGAGATCAGCCCCCACTCCACCTCCGAGACCTGAGCCCCTATGTCAGCTTTGTCAGTTTGGAGGAAGGCGAGGAAGGGGAGGAGGAAGAAGAGGAGGAGGAAGAGGAAGAAAATGGAGAGGAAGAGGGTGCAGGCACCGAGAAGGTAGAGCCAGAGGAGGATGGGGAGCCAGTCCATACAAGCAGGGAGTCCCCCCAGGAAGCAAATCTTCCAGGGCAGCCAGAGGAGGCTGAGCAGAAGGAAGGAGGTGGCGAGAATGGCTATCACGAGGAGCGGGCAGAAGACGAAGCTGGGTCCAAGAGGAGGAAGGGGCGAAGAAGTGGTAAGAAGCCAGGGCTGGCCCTGCCCTTCCCCCTGCCCACACACACTCCCTCTTAGAGCCCAGCTAGAAGTCACAAAAGGATGGCCTTCAGGCCAGGTGTTTTTATAATTCCACATTGTGGGTTTTGTTTTTTTTATTTGAGCCAACATTTAAATATTGTTAAAAAAAAAAAAAAAAAAAAAAAAAAACTCCTGCCAAAACCGGTTCGGCTCAGTGGATAGAGCGTCGGTCTACAGACTGAAAGGTCCCTGGTTCGATTCCAGTCAGGGACATGTACCTTGGTTGCGAGTACATGCCCAGTAAGGGGTGTGCAGGAGGCAGCTGATCAATGTTTCTAGCTTTCTATCCCTCTTTCTCTCTGTAAAAACTCAATAAAATAAAAATATGTACACAGATAATAATTTAATTTAAAAAAAAAACCAACTCAATAAAATATGTTAAAAAAACACAAAAAACTCCGGAAGTATGGAATTATATCTTCTTTTTTAAAATATATTTTATTGATTTTTTACAGAGAGGAAGGGAGATAGAGCTAGAAACGTAGATGAAAGAGAAACATCAACCGGCTGCCTCTTGCACACCCCCTACCGGGGATGCGCCCGCAACCAATGTACATGCCCTTGACGGGAATCGAACCTGGGACCTTTCAGTCCACAGACCGATGCTCTATCCACTGAGCCGAACCGGTTTCAGCTGGAGTTATACCTTCTTAAGAAAAAGTAAAGAACAGCAGCAAATGCTGGTACCTTGTATCTGCTGCCCCTTTAAGATAAGGCATATCCTCTCTACCTACTTTCCTTTAACTTTACTCACTTAGTTTACTTGCCTACCCCACCCCACCCCCCGCCCCCGTAGGCATTTGAGTTGAATATTCCTGATCCTGACCATCTTTGCTACTCCCCCCCCCCTCCGACTTTTGACTTTCCTTCTCCAGAGGCTGCCCCCCTGCACCTTGCCTGCCTCTTACTGGTGACGGATGAACATGGCACCATCTTGGGCATTGACCTGCTAATGGGTGGAGCCCAGAGGAGTGCGGGCAAGGGCTCCTGGACAGAGAACCTGGCTCCCCGGGCCTATGCTCTCCTCTGCCACAGCATGGCCTGCCCCATGGGCTCCGGAGACCCCCGGAAGCCCCGGCAGCTTACCGTGGGAGACGCCCAGCTGCACCGGTACGGAAATCCGCCGTCTGAGGGTGGGGAGGCCTGAGGGGCCCGGACTGCGGGCCGTGCAGCCTGACGCCCTGTCACCCCCATTCAGGGACCTGGAGATGCTGGTCCCCAGGCTGGGCGTGAAGTTAGCCAAGACCCCGATGCGGACGTGGGGTCCCCAGCCAGGCTTCACCTTCGCTTCCCTGCGGGCTCGAACCTGCCATGTCTGTCACAAGCACAGCTTTGAAGTGAAGCTGACGCCCTGGTGAGCAGCCTGCAAAGATGGAGTGAAAGGAAGGAAGACCCCAACAGTCAGGCAAAACAGAGAGGCTAGTGGGGGGACCCTACAGACAGTGAGGAACAAGGAAATTAGATGAAGAAAAGGAGTTGTTGCCCTAGGGGTGTCGAACTCAATCAGAGAAGGGGCCAAAATCTAAAATCCAGCCTAAATCGCGGGCCGAATGGTTTACTGAACAGTCATAAACTGTCATTGTGATGGAAACGCAGCGGAGTGCAGTGATGACAGCGCGGTGCGGGCCACATTGCAAGGCCTGGCGGGACGGATTTGGCCCGCGGGCCTTGTGTTTGACACATGTGCCCTAGACAGTGTGGCTCAGTGGATAGAGTTGTCGGCCGATAGATAGACTGAAGGGTCCCGGGTTTGGTTCCCGGTCAAGGGCATGTACCTCGATTGCAGATTCAATCCCTGGCCCTGGTGGTGTGTCTCGCTCACATCAGTGTTTCTCTCTCTCCCCCCTCCATTTCACTCTCTCTAAAAATCAATGGAAAGATATCCTCAGATGAGGATTTTTTAAAAAAATATATTTTATTGGTTTTGTACAGAGAGGAAGGGAGAGAAATAGAAAGCTAGAAACATCGATGAGAGAAAGTCATCAACCAGCTGCCTCTTGCACACCCCCTACTGGGGATATGCCCGCAACCAAGGTACATGCCCTTGACCGGAATTGAACCTGGGTCCCTTCAGTCCCGAAGCCGACGCTCTATCCATTGAGCCAAACCGGTCTCGACCTCAGATGAGGATTTAAAAAAAAAAAAAAAAAAGCTGTTACTGACAGAGAGAATACAGACAAACAGATTGAGTTTGGGCAGCTGCAGGGCAGACGGATGGCAGGCAAAGGACTTACAGAGACTAACACTGGGTGCCCACCCCTCCCTGTGACCCCAGCCCCCAGTGCAGTGCTGTCTTGTACTGTGGCGAGGCCTGCCTCCGGGCCGACTGGCGGCGATGCCCAGATGATGTGAGCCACAGGTTTTGGTGCCCAAGGCTTGCAGCCTTCATGGAGCGCACAGGGGAACTGGCGACTCTGCCGTTCACTTACACTGCAGGTACCACAGGGGGGCCCGGAGGGGGGGGGCAGGGGGAACTGGGGCCTGGATGTCTGGGAACAGGGTCCTGGAGGCTAAGTCTGGATCCCTGGAATGGGGGCTGGATGCTGGGTGTTTGGAGCAGAGGACTAGACCTTGGGGCTGGAGACAGAGTTTTTGAAGCTAAGTACTCAGCGCCCGGGGCCCTGAGATAGTTTCGGGCAGCGGTCGGCTAACTCATTAGTCACCAGAGCCAAATATCAACAGTACGACAATTGAAATTTCTTTTTGAGAGCCCAATTTTTTTTAACTTAACCTATAGAGGTAGGTACGTTATTGTTAACTTAATTAGGGTCCTCCAAAGCTGGCCTTTGCTAAAAACTCCATGGGCCAGAGAGCTGCATGTGGCTCTTGAGCCGCCGTTTGCCGACCACTGGTTTAGGGGACTTAGAGCCGGCGATTCAAACACTTGCTTCCCAGCCCCACCACTACCTGGTGACCTTAAGCAAACCATGCTACGTCTTGGTGCCTTAGTTTCCTCCTCTGTAAAACAGGGACACTAACAAATGCTCCCAGGAATTGTTATAAGAATTCTGCCCGCGGGATGCCTGCCTCACTCAGACATGTCCGTTCTCTCCCTGACGAGCACCAGACTCAGACCCAGAGTCCTTGGGAGAGGCTGAGGGGAGCTAAAGTCGGGGGGTTGGGGGGGGGGAGCAGGGGATGTCCTAGCCACCTGGCCCTCAACCTTCTCCAGAGGTGACCAGCGAAACCTTCAACAAGGAGGCCTTCCTGGCCTCGCGAGGCCTCACTCGTGGCTACTGGACCCAGATCAGCATGCTGATCCCAGGCCGAGGCACCCCCAGGCACCCCCGGGGCAGCACACCGTCCCCCAGTCTTCTTCTCCATGGTGCGTGGGGCCTCTCCGCAGGCGTGGGCAAAGGGTGGGAGGGAATAAAGCTGCCCGGGTCCCAGACAACCCCTTCATATACACACCAAACCCTGCCCCTACTCCCAGGGCCATGTCAGCCCCTTCCTCAGCCCTCTTAAGTCGCCGCTGCCCTTTCCATTCAAAAACAATCCCTAGGCAACCCTCTCCCCCATTTCTCCAGTCCTCTCTCAGATGATGCAGCTTCTATGGAAGAAAGAGGGAGGCATGCCAGGGGGGAGGGGGTCCTCCCTGACCCCGGGCTCCTCCTCCTCCTTTCCTCCTCTCAGGAGACCCCTACCAGCTTCTTCAGGGGGACGGGCCTGTCCTGATGCCTCCTGTGCCCGCAGATCCGCCCAGGGGCCTCTTTGGTGAGCCGAAGGGACCCTGTAGGAACAAGGGATAGCAGCAGTCTGGGAGGCTGAGATAAGGGAGATGATTAGGTTGGAGGCACTGGGGTCCAGACCTGGGGCCAGGTCCCCCCAGTAACCCACTCTCCCCAGGCTCGTGGCGGGATTACTACACATGGCGGGGCCTCAGCTTGGACTCCCCCATGGCGGTGCTCCTCACCTACCCGCTGACTGTGTACTACGTCATCACCCACCTGGTGCCCCAGTCCTGTAAGGAGAGCGGGGGGGGGCGGTATTCCAGAGGGGCAGCAGGGAGCTGGTGGGGGGCAGGAGGGAAGGGGACAGCGGCCAGACCCTTAAAGGGCCAGCTTCTCACACAGTCCCCGAGCTCAACATCCAGAACAAACAGTCCCTGAAGATCCACGTGGTGGAGGCCGGGAAGGAGTTTGACCTTGTCATGGTGTTCTGGGTAAGTCCCTCCAGGCCTGAAGGTTGGGCGTTTGGGTGGCCACGTGGACGCAGGGTAGGACCCAGCTCCGCCTCTCCGTCCTCTAGGAGCTCTTGGTCTTGCTCCCCCACGTGGCCCTGGAACTACAGTTTGTGGGCGACGGCCTGCCCCCTGAGAGTGACCAGCAGCATTTCACCCTGCAGAGGGTGAGGGCCGAGGGGTCCCCTGCTCTTCGCCCCCGGTCTGGTCCTCCTCCGGTCCTCCTTATTCAGCCTCGCCCTTCTGGCCCCTCCTCCCCTCTCCTTGGTCTTCTTGCCTGACGCATCCCCAGCACCCTAACTTCCAGGGGTTTCTGCACCCCACTCCTGGCTCCGCAGGATGGCCCTGAAGTCTCTGTCCGTCCTGGTTCCGGGGTGTCAGCTCGGCTCAGCTCGGGGACTAAGGAGAAGGGGGGCCGGAGGGACCTGCAGATCAAAGTGTCTGCTCGGCCCTACCACCTGCTCCAGGGGCCCAAGCCCGACCTGGTGATCGGTAAGCGCCTGGCAGGGGGGGTGGGGGGGGTGCGTGGGAGGGAGGGAAGGGGGAGACCTGGCCTCCAGCTTCTGCCTGCTTCTCCCTCGGTCCACAGGATTTAACTCCGGCTTTGGCCTCAAAGACACTTGGCTGAGCTCGCTGCCCCGCTTACAGGTGGGCACAGGGGCAAACGGGGACTTCCCTCACCTCCTGCCCAGTCCCTGCTCCCTCCCCGACGACGACGTCTGCTTCTCCAGCATCCGCTCCGCTGCCCTGGGGGCTGCCTCTGGCCCCTCCCTGTGTCCGCCCCGCACCGCTCCTCCATCCCCGCCTTTCTGGGTCCTCAGGGTGCTACCCAGTGCGCTACCCTTGCTGCTGGGGAGGTCCTGGGGGCAGGAGCCTCCCTGCAAGTCTGAGGCCCGGCTCCCACCCACCCCAGTCCCTCCGAGTGCCCGCCTTCTTCACGGAGAGCAGCGAGTACGGCTGTGTGATGGACGAGCAGACCATGGCCGTGGCCGCCGGCGGGGGCACCAGCCCCCCGCAGCCCAACCCCTTCCGCTCCCCGTTTCGTCTCCGAGCGGCCGACAACTGCATGCCCTGGTGAGGACCCCGACTCTTCTCTCTCTCCACCCCACTTCTTTATTTTTAAAAAATGTATTTTATTGATTTTTTTTTACAGAGAGGAAGGGAGAGGGATAGAGAGTTGGAAACATTGATGAGAGAGAAACATGGATCAGCTGCCTCCTACACGCCCCCTACTGGGGATGTGCCCGCAACCAAGGTACATGCCCTTGACTGGAATCGAACAGGAGACCCTCCAGTCCGCAGGTCGAAGCTCTATCCACTGAGCCAAACCAGTTTCTGCCCACCCCCTCTTCTTTAGCTTCTTCCTCCGGCTTCGCATCCCAAAACCCAGCCCTACCACCTGCCTTTCCTGCCCAGACCCCTCACAACCCTCCGGGGGGGTCCTCACCCCCCCCACACACACACACCCCTCTTTGGATCCAACTCACAGCATCACCCCACCCCCCCCCCCCCCCCCGCTCCGCGCCCCCTCCCAACCCCCAGACCCCGCACCCCCCGGCCGGGGGCCCGCCCTGATGGACCACACGGCCCCCGCAGGTACTGCAACGCCTTCATCTTCCACCTGATCTACAAGCCCTCGCAGGGCAGCGGGGCCCGCGGGGCGCCGGGGCCCGGACCCCCAGCCCCGACCCCCGCCGCGCCCGCCGCCCCCGCCCGGAGGCGCCGCGGGGAGAAGAAGCCGGGGCGCGGGCCCCGCCGGCGGAGGTGAGGGCGGGAGGTAGCGGTCCGCGCCTCCCTCCCCCTCCACAGGCCTCCGAAAGGGACATAAAACCCGTGAGGCCCAGGGGCAGGCCGCGTGGCCGGGCGCGGAAAAGGTAAATAAAATTGCTTGTTTGAAACCCACGGAGTCAAATTGCTCATATTTGGGGCACCCATCGGGGAGGGGAGGAAAGGATTTACGGATGGCTTAATTTCCTCCAGCTTCTTTCAGTCACTCCGTGGCTGGCCCTTCTCTTACTTGAGACTCTGGCCCTCCTTGTTAATCCCAGTCTTCGTGTGTGTGTGTGTGTGTGTGTGTGTGTGTGTGTGTGTGTGTGTGTGTGAGAGAGAGAGAGAGAGAGAGAGAGAGAGAGAGAGAGAGAGAGTCATTCCCCCTGCCTCAGGGCAAAACCAAGAAGCAGAAAGCCGCTTCTCACTGGAGGGTCAGTGGGAGCTCACAACCTCCCATGGGAACACACACCCTTTGGTTTATAGTCAGTGGAAGGCCCCAGCCACTCAACTGTCCAAATGGAAACCTGGAGGCCATCCTGGACTCCACCTTCTCTCATCCCACATGACCCATCAAGAGCCAACCCCTGCTGAGTCAGACGGCTAGTGCGTCAAACCCACCAGTTTATGTCCCGCCCCACCACAAACTCAAACTCAACTCCACATTTTAGCCATTGTATTCCTTCTAAAACAGAAACGAGAACACATTGCCCCATCCACAAATCCCTTCAGTGACTTCACTCTGCTTTTGTGTGTGTGTGTAAGAAAAATTTATTTTGCCATTGCAAAAACATCTACATGAAGTATAAATTGTTTTCAATGACATTAGTAGAGAATGTGTTCTAGAAATTGAAGGTAACTGGATGTAACATCCTGGCAGCAATTGAATAGAACAGTCCCGGATGGTTAGGCTGAGGCCAACACCTAGTGAGGACGAAAGCCTTGTCTGTGGGGAATTTTGAAGGCTACCTGGAGAAATATTACACTGTGTGTAAACCAAATTGAATGGTCATAAGTGTTGTAAAGTTTCATACAGTAAAAGTTTTTTTCTACGTGCACTTCAATTTCACAGCAAGAGTGGCACAGGATGCCTAAACACAGAAGAGAGCATTCATGCAAGGTATCTCACTCCTTGATATAATAATGCACACAATTCAAAATGATTGCACAAATAATCTGAGAATCCAAGATGGCTGCACAGGTAAACACCTATCCGCAGCCGCACACAACAATTTCAATAAAATACAACTAAAATATAAAATGGACATTACCCAGAACTACAGGAAAGTCGACTGACTGGGAATTCTACATCGAGAAGCAAGGAGCAAACCAGAAGGAGGAGCGGAGGAGCTGTAAAAGCCTAAGGTACGGAGACACGCAGTGCACGTGGAGAGGACGGAGCCGGAGAGGAGGGAGGCTGAGTGCCTGGCTGGCGTTCCGTAGTGGGAAGGAGACAAAAGCTCCGACTGTGTTGGGCCCCAGTTCCGACTGCTCTGAACCCCAGTTCTAGGCCAGACCCCAGGGAGCTGGGTTGTAAGGCGGAACCCCGGGGAGCGGCAAAGGGGGTCCCGGAGGTGCGCACATTGCGTGCAGAGAAGGGATGGTTGGCTGTGCCGGGGGACTGCCCTGGCGGGAAGGAGACAAAAGCTCCGGACTGCTCTGAACGCTACCTCCAACTCAAAATGATTGCGCAATCATTGCAACTAGGGCTTTCTGCAATTACAAGGCGGTGGTTATGAAAAGCGTGGCCTCAGGTATCAACATCTTAAAAAGCAGCCACCACCTTCTTTTACGTCTGTTTCCTTACGTCTGTTTCCTTTTTGCATTTTTTTCTTCATTTTTGTTAATCAGCTTTGTTGCTGTTGCTGCTTCTTAGCAAAACTGGTAAAAACAAAGTTGTAATCATTGAACGTAGCACTCTGGCAATCAAGACGTTTAAAACCTTCAGCCTTCTGGGGTGAAGAGCTTTGGTCTGTGCGACATTGAGAACTTTGGTTCGCAAACAAGATGGTTACACATGTTTCTAGCTTGAAGACTTCCACAGCTTTCCTGATCAGGTCATCATAGGAGGTCTGACTTAGGTTCGTTTCAAAGCTAACATAAGGAAATTCTGATTCTGGAGTGATGTGAATAGTCCAATAAGTTCCATCCAATTTCATGCCATTCATCGAATACCCATAAGGCTGGAACATTGTGGCATCAATGACAGAACCTGGTATCAGGTCACGAATTCCACTCTGACGGGTGACATCCTTTGCAATAACACCATCTTTCATGTAGAACTGGTCCATAACTGCTGAGCCAAGAATTTCACTCATCAGAATTTCTCGGGTTTGATCTAGCTGACTGATTACCAGACTCTCTGGGAAATCTAAAGCATACAAGTACCAATAGTCAGAATTCATACGTCCCATGCAATATGCTGCTCCATTTGGGAAAATTGCATTAAGAAACTATTTCTGCTGAAACTGGTTTGGCTCAATGGATAGAGCATCGGCTTGGAGACTGAAGGGTCCCGGTTTCGATTCTGGTCAAGAGCATGTACCTTGGTTGCAGGCATATCCCCAGTAGGGGGTGTGCAAGAGGCAGCTGATCGATGACTCTCTCTCATTGATGTTTCTGACTCTCTATCTCTCTCCCTTCCTCTCTGTAAAATCAATAAAATAAAATATATTTTGAAAGTCACTACATTTTTGCCATTTTCAGCACCTCCCTCTCCATTGATTTCTCTCTGAAATCAATACAAATATATATATATATATATATATATATATATATATATATATTTTTTTTTTTTTTTTTTTTTTTTTTTTTTTTTTTAATAGCTAGTAGTTGACTTCAGAGTGAGATTTGCTAGATTAGCCATGGCTCACAGAAATATCTGGTGTTTTTTGTTTATTTTTTAATTGATTAGAGAGAGAGAGACATCAATGTGAGAGAGACACATCAATTGGTACCTCCTGTTTACACCCCAATTTGGGGTCAAACCTCAACCTAGGTAGGTGCCCTAACTGGGAATCAAACCCAATACCCTCCAGTGCATGCGACAATGCTCCAACCAACTGAGCCACACTGGCCAGGGCCAGAAATATATTGTTTTGATGCCTGAGGGGCCAGGTCCTAGGGAAGACTCAAGTCCCAAGCTTGAGGGTTCTTGGCTTCTCTCAGGAAAGAATTCAGGATGTGAGCCAGATAAAAAGGTAAGTGGAAAAGTAGGCAGCGAGGACAAGCAAAAAAAGCCACTCCATAAACAGAGCATCGAACTCTCCTCATGAGAGAAAGAAGAGAGACCTCAACCATCTCTGGAAGTTGAACTTACTTCTGTTAATAGTTTTGTTATTGGTTGGTGCCCTCTGCATCCCCCATTACTGGTGGAAGTGGAGGTTTTATGATTTCTCAAGGAAAGGAATTTCCTGAGACTCTTAAGAGAGGATGCTTGAGCTTTATTTTCATGGATTTAATGACCCCTGGGTTTCCAATGTCCCATTTCCCTCCATCCTGCCATGGAAGAAGTCCAGTCTTGTCTGCAGCAGGGCAAAAATAAAAACCGGTGACCAGAGTTCCTGCTCCATTTAAAAGTCCCGTCCAGTCCAGCATCCTGAGTGTGGAGTCCGCATGGCCCATGCAGACTGTTTAAGGCCACATGGCGGGTGAGTGCAGGGGGCAAATGTGGCTCAGGGAGCAAGAGAGTGCAACAGCGAACAGCAAGCAGGAGCGAGAGCGAGAGACACAGAGACAGAACTCGATGTCTAAGGATGATAACTAGGACTTAACCAATTAACCCTTCAGGATTTCTCACGCTTGCAGTGGCTTTGCCATCTTAGCCAAATGTCTTTTCCCAGGTTAGGCTGACAGAGGAGCACCTTCCCTCTGTTAACCCCAACTTCATTGCACGTGTCCATCTCCCTGTTTGTTCAATCCCTTCCCCCAGGGACTTGCAGGGAGTGGACCAGTGTTTCCCAGGGGAGAGTGAAATTGTACTTTCCTGGTGAGGCTGCCCAGAAGATCATGCTTATGAGGACATACCTGGCCTCCCCTTTGCTCTCTTCCTAATATTAATATTCATAACTGATCATGATGATAACATTAATATTAATATTCATAGCTGATTATGATGATAACAGTTTCTATGGAAAATTGCTGGTATGGGGAAATACAGAGTGGAAAAAATCATTAGTATTAACTTTAACCTTTACAAGGTATATTTTTTAATATTCTGTTTTCCCTTTATGGTATGTACTAGAGTTGGGGGGAGGAGTGGTCCCTCAGCCTGGCCTGCACCTTCTCCAATCTGGGACCCCTCGAAACTGGCAGTCAGACATCCCTCTCGCAATCCAGGACCACTGGCTCCTAACCACTCGCCTGCCTGCCTGCCTAATGCCCCAACTTCCCTCCCCTGCCAGCCTGGTTGCCCCCAACGGCCCTCCCCTACTGGCCTGGTGGCCCACAACTGCTTTCCCCTGCCAGCCTGATCGCCCCTAACTGCCTCTGCCTTGGCCCCCACCACCATGGCTTTGTCCGGAAGAAAGTCTGTCGTCTGGAAGATGGCCAGTCAACATGATCTAATTAGCATATTACCCTTTTATTAGTATAGGTAACTGGTAAGGTATGGGTGAGTAGCTGTTAATCAATCTTTGCAGGAATTTATGGTCAGCTGAGTTCCAGGTCAGGCAGCATGGAACAGGTCCCTGATTTAAATGTATGTAGCTCTCATGCCCCTCCCCTATATTAACTTAGGAAAAGAAAGAATGAAAGGGTAGGGAATGAGTAACCTTTGAATCCTGGGAGGTCACATGGTCACCACTGCTATGGAACAGCAGCTGTGCAGCAATCATTTACTGAAGGAAAAAGTTACAAATGGAATTTAGAATTGGGTCCAACCCCCAGGATTTGGTTCACTGGATGCATAAGGAAATGCAGACTAAGAAGGAAAAAATGAAAATACAATCCCTATCTATAATGGCTATCTATAATGGCTAAAATGAAATTCTTAAAAAAAAGAGTCCTGGTTTGGACTTTGATGCTAGATTAAGTTCAAATTTTGGTCATTCTAAGTAAGCGTTAACCCCTAGCCTCAAAGCTGCCCACAAAGTGAAAAATTATGCTGGGACAACAGAAAGTACCTC